TAAGTGTGCATGAAATCGTCAGGACTACTTGAGTCAAGGAGTTGGACAACAGGGTAATGGCCAAGGGTCATGTGGAATACTAAATTCGCAACCATCTCCCTCCATATGGAATTGAACTCCCTTCACTATTGTAATCCCCTCTGCATCACAGTTTTCTGCCTCCACTCCACACCATTAAGCTCCTGAGCATTCTGCTGCAAAACTAGCCACCAAATTACCCTCTCCTTCACCAGACACTGGGTGCCTGAAACACCCAGACTGAACACGGTCTACACCCTTTAGCAATTTAGCTAAGCAGCTCCAAACAATGAGTGACTGGATGATTGGCTGAATTCTGTACAGCTCCCTGGCTGTAGAATCATAGAATCATACAGTACAGAAGAGAATTCCCATCACACCCTGGACTAGCTTCACTGGATGCACAGGGCTGACCATCACCCATTCCCTGATTGGTAAAGGTATGGACCCTCTCACATGAGCACTTCAATTGGACACCTGACTGTGCCAAATCCCCTGGACTGATATTGGAGGCTGCCAGTGACTTACTATACAAGAGCCCCTGACCAGCAAGTGCCTCCCTGGGTGGATACCAGTAAGGACTATTCCCCAAAGAACTTTGAGTCATGGCTGTTTGCTTGCAGTTCATGCAGTGTGTTTGACATCTACACAGCTGATACATGGTGCAGGTGTGAGACTGATGTTGCAAACTGCCCTATAGCAATATGTTCACTTTCATAACTGTTGACTGCTAACGACCATGGCCTCGCTTTGAGTTGGTATTGAATAGCAAGCAATATGACACTACCAAGAGCTTTTAAACTCGGGCTGAGGGAGCAAAAAACAAACAATCAAGGTAAGGCAGAGAGGCTGTAAGAATGCAGTTGGCTCAATGTGATTGAAAGCTAAGAAAGCAAGCAAACACCCCCAAAATGCAGCCTTGTCTAGTCTATGGCCCAGGTGCCTATCCAAAGTGCAAAGTGTCCTTGTAGCAGCATGATAATGAAAGTTGCTGATGCACTCCAATTTACAGCAATACCACGCAAAAGAGTAGTGGTATGTGGATCAGAAGTATGTCATATCTGGCATGTTTTGGATGTCAGCACTCATGGCTTGCGTGCAGCTGTTGCCTTGGAGTATAACCTGAAATGTTGTTGCCTAACACCAAGAATGCCCTCCGAGTTTCATGTCAGAAAGTTCAAATTCTTCGTGGCAGGTGGTATGATCGAAAGTTGCACATTAATGAAGTGACACTTGCAGTCAATGAGGGTGATAACAAGCGATAATCCCTATTAATTGTCATCGCTCCACTGCCTAGCAACAATTTCATCTTGGCACCCAGAACTCTGTTGGAAAATGCAGCCAGTTGCTCCGAACAGCAAGATTACTCAAGCAATCTCCCAGATTTCCTGCCATTGCCAATTCATTCATGATTTGGTAAGACTGTGCCCAAAGTCTTATTTCTGCAATGTTGAAGTCACCCTTATATATTGACACCAAGGGCAACTGGTGGATGACATCTCAGAAGAACCCTGCTATTGATGTCTAGGAAATACAACTGAGGCCACCTGACCACATGGTTTTGTGCTGTACAAGTCATCAGAATGATTAAGATATAATTCAGACACTAGGTCAAATCTGAAGGTGTTGTTCAGTACGAACCAGCAAGGATTACCTAAGTGATGGTAGTCTGAAGCGTTTTGCACAATATTGCATTGCAGTAAGGGCTAGAGTTGCAGAAGGAAGATGAGCATTCTGCATCTTCAGGTAAAGGTAATGAGCAATGGGAGAAGGACAGGAGCCTGCAGTCTCAAGCTATACTGCCTATGATGCTCAGGATGGATAGGTTCAGGCATGCTTCAATTAAGGAGAAGTAGTGAAAGCACTGAACACATCAATTCTGAACTCACGGTGGTATCCCAATTTTTAATATGAATTAGTCCTACTTCGAATATTTCATTCATCTTGCCAGATACCCATAGCCTTTCTTTGACCCTTGTTGTAGCATTCTTCAAAAGGCATAGGGCCAATTCGTGGGCAGCAGGAAAATTGGGGAGGACAAGAGTTTTGAATTAAAGTTCATGACTGTAAATCATTAAAGCAGAAATGTGACATTTTAATATAATGCTGGAAACCAAAGTAATGTTGTCCCACAAATCATTTCTGTCTCCTTTTCTAGTATTTGTAGATGATCCAATCCTTATAGTTCAATAGAGGTAGAGGCAGGTTGCTTGTATTCCACTCTGACTGCTCAAAACATCTTGGCCAACATCTTCTGAGTTTTTTTTAGGCCACTGGGGTTCAGCCAAAGACTGTCCTAAATGCATCAATGCAGGGGAAAATTTGGCCAATGGGATAGCCTCTTGACCAGGGTTTGAGAGGGGGTTGATGACATGTGGTGGCAAGGAGTCAAGAATGAAAGTTCTTTGTGCATTCTATATGTCCTTTTTCTATTTACCATCTCATGCATCACCAAAAACATCTTTAGTAACCAAAAGCTGTGAGTATTTTGCTGCACTCAAGTGAAATGCTGAATAGTCAAGGCAGGTTTTCCTGTTTAAGAAGACAGCATGAGTATGCAGGCCATTGCTGAGAGTCAGCATGAATTGCTTTCTATTGCATCTGAATGCTCCATGCAGGTGGCCACCACTTTATGAATGTGAACATTAGCATGAAGGCCTGAGTCACCAGGCTTGCATGTCAGTAACAGATTTCTCTAATTTCTGTCTAATGTTGTGCAATGGTTCTAAAAATACTGACTGAACACCACAGATCTGTTGTGCCTATGTCAAATCTCTCCACGACCTACTTAATTGATCTCATTCTGCAAACTTTCTTCTGTAGTCTAGCATTTTTTTCTCTTCATTATCCAATTCCCCTGTGAAAATGCTTTGGTCTCCACCACATTCTCAGGAAATGCAGTACAGGCCCTAATCACTCTGCCTAGAAAAATCTTCCTCATGTCACCCCTGGTTCTTTTGCCAATTACAAAGCAGTCTTTTTATTGACTGGCACCTATGGGACCAGGAGCGTATCAGTTGGTCAAATATTCCATTTGAATCAAGAGGTCCACGTAATTGACATAAAAATGCACACTAAGTAATGGAAACATAATGCAGGGGTTTACACATCACTGTTATACTTTATTTATAAATCACTTAAATAACAATGCAACTTTTCCTTAAATAAACTTAATGGCAGAGAGTCTTATCACTTGCACCCTTAACTGACTACTTGGACATTGTGGAGATCGCAATAATACAGCAAATGTTTGGTATTTGAGGTAAATAATTTTTATTGGTTTATTGAGAGTGCAGGTCCATAAAATGCTGGTTAAAACAAGGGTTGCTGTACCTAAATCTGTGTCTTCTAGTTCATGGCTCTTCATCAAAATGAAGAGTTTTCCCAAGCTATTTAATCCAGATCCCACATGATTTTGAGCAACATTATCAAGTCTCTTATCTGAAGAGGTCATACTCAGTGCAGGCCTTGAGATACATCCAAGACTTTTCATATAGAAAAGAATGTACATTCCACAGAGGTAAGGTATGCTGCCCAGTCTTTCTTTCCGAGACCCATTAACTAGAAATATTTACCAGCTACTCATTTCCTGGCTTTGACATCACTACAGCTGTTTTATTTTAAAGATGTTACATTTATTATTAGTGGTTTTGTTCAAGGCTTTCACGGCGCTCAGTCACTATGCACAATAATTGAGAATAGAATCCCTACAATTCAGAAAGTGGCCAATCAGCCCATCGTGTTTGCACTGACCCTCCAAAGAGTGTCCCACTCAGACCCTCACCATATCCCCGTAACTCCACATTTACCACGGCTAATCCACCTAGCCTGCACATCCCTGGACAGTATGGAGCAATTTAACATGGCCAATCCACATAATCTGCACATTTTTTCGATTGTGGGAGGAAACCAGAGCCCCTGCAGGAAACCAACACAGATACAGGGAGAACGAGCAAACTCCAAACAGATAGTTACCCAAGGCTGGAGTCAAACCTAGGTCCCTGGCACTGTGAGGCAGCAATGCTAACTTCTGAGCCAGTATGTCATTGAGTAGTTCCTGATGTTCTTCTTTAACCCTTAATTCTGGATGTAGTCACCAATGGATCTGTTACCTAATCTGCTAGCATCTTATCAGGATTACTGATGTGAATAATCAGTAGGATGAGCTACTTCAGAGAAGTTGACAAGCAAGAAAGACTTTGATCAGTGAAACAAAGAAGCTATGTCCAAATTTTTTATAGTACTTCTTTTCCTCACTTCGTGAACTCATTAAAACTGTATGGATTCCACAGCAGGATCACCAGATATCATTGAGAGACCAGCCTCCTCTCCGAGTCTGTGGTTGTGTAGCCTCTGAAATCCAATTGCTGTTGTGATGTTGTAATTAGGATTTGTTCCTTTGACAGATCCAGCATGTCAGTTCTGCCTCCTGCTCTCCCACACACTTTGCCGATTTACACCTGCTTCCAGTTTCCCAAAAAATGGTGTGGCTCAATTTGAGAGCTTTAACAACATTTGGCTTAACTATTTGGGTTCCAGCCCTGCAAATAAATCTGCCACTTGGCTAAGGACTAAGTTGGGAAAATTCCACCCTCTATTTCTGTAAGGATTTTCCATTCTATTTAAGGGAGATCTAGTTTGGAGATCTTACACAGGTCTCAGAACTCTTGAACAGAGTGCTATTCCAAAATATATTTCTAATCATAGCAAGTTCCAGTGCAAAAATCCATTGAAGTCTGATGGCAAGTTTGGCAATATAGAACTGCCATCACAATTCTTGTGATGCTTGTCGCAAAATCTGGGTCATTATTTACACTTCAGCAATAAGATAGTCAATTTAACGTTGCACAGAAATGACAAGCTATATACATATCATACTTTAACATTGATTTTATAGTTGAATTGATGAGTTATACCAGATTTCTAGCAGTGAGAGTCTCAAAGTATGAGGAGTTTTAGAAGCAAGTCAGCCTGAGACTCACCAGATTCACATTGTTTTCAACCAATTCGTTTTGTGCAAATCTTCTGTTCTTTCTATGAAATGGCTTCTTCATACCTTTTTTTTAGAAAAAATACATTAGATTGGTAATATGTTTTCCTGCTTCCAACAGGGAATCTGGATTTTAGAACCTTTGAAAAATATAGCACAGTAAGAGGCCATTCAGTCTATCATGTCTGAGCTGACTGAACAAACTAGTCACTTATTCTAATCCTATTTTCCACCACTTGGTCTGTACCTTGCAGGTTACAGTATTCAGCTGCAGATCGAATTTCCTTTTAAATGAGTTGTGCCTTCTGCCTCGATCACCAAAATGGTGGTGAATTCCAGAAACCCATTATCCTCTGGGTGAAAACAGGTTTTCTTCATCTCCCCTCTAATCTTTCTGCTAAAAAATCACCTTCAATGCATCAGAGATAGCAAAAACTGCAGATGCTGGAGTCAGAGTCAATACAGTGTGGAGCTGGAGGAACACAGCAGGTCAGGCAGCATCAGAGGAACAGGAAAGTCTGTTCTGATGAAGGGTCCCAACCTGAAACATCAACTTTCCTGTTGCTCTGATGCTTCCTGACCTCCTGTGTTCCTCCAGCTCCACCTTAAATGGATGTTCCCTTGTAATTGCTCCCTCTGCTAGTGGAAGCAGGTCTTCCCTATCCACTATTTCTAAGTTCCTCAAGATGTTTACACACCAATCAAGTCACTTCCTCTGTTTTAATTTAAACACCCTTTATGATACAAATGTTCCACACAGCTGCAATTTAAGCTTTAGCAATATTCCTGTAAATCCCCTCAACATTCTCTACAGAAATTACATTCTTCCTGTGAGCAGAACTATACACAATTCTGAGATAACAAGGTGCAGAGCTGGATGAACACAGCAGGCCAAGCAGCATCAGAGGAGCAGGAAGGCTGACATTTCGGGCCGAGACCCTTCTTCAGAAATGGGGGAGGGGAAGGGGTTTCTGGAATAAATAGGGAGAGAGGGGGAGGCGGAATGAAGATGGATAGAGGAGAAGATAGGTGGAGAGGAGACAGACAGGTCAAAGAGGCAGGATGGAGCCAGTAAAGGTGAGTGTAGGTGGGGAGGTAGGGAGGAGATAGGTCAGTCCAGGGAGGACGAACAGGTCAAGGGGGCAGGATAAGGTTAGTAAGTAGGAGATGGGGGTGGGGCTTGAGGTGGGAGGAGGGGATAGGTGGGAGGAAGGACAGGTTAGGGAGGCAGGGACGAGCTGGACTGGTTTTGGGATGTGGTAGGGGGAGGGGAGATTTTGAAGCTTGTGAAGTCCACAGTGATACCATTGGGCTGCAGGATTCCCAAGCGGAATAGGAGTTGCTGTTCCTGCAACCTTCAGGTAACATCGTTGTGGCACTGCAGGAGGCCCAGGATGGACATGTCGTCTGAGAAGTGGGAGGGGGAGTTGAAATGGTTCGTGACAGGGAGGTGCAGTTGTTCAGTGCGAACCGAGCGTAGGTGTTCTGCAAAACTGTCCGCAAGCCTCCGCTTGGTTTCCCCGATGTAGAGGAAGCCACACCGGGTACAGCGGATGCAGTATAGCACATTAGCAGATGTGCAGGTGAACATCTGCTTGATGTGGAAAGTCTTCTTGGGGCCTGGGATGGGGTTGAGGGCAGAGGTGTAGGCGCAGGTGTAGCACTTTCTGCGGTTGCAGGGAAAAGTGCCGGGTGTTGTGGGGCTGGAGGGGAGTGTGGAGCGGACAAGGGAGTCACAGAGAGAGTGGTCCCTCCGGAAAGCAGATAAGGGTGATTTGCGGGAAATGCGGGAGACACGGTCGAGGGCGTTCTCGATCACTGAGGCAGGGGAAGTTGCGGTCCTTGAAAAACGAGGACATCTGAGATGTACGGGAGTGGAATGCCTCATCCTGGGAGCAGATGCGGCGGAGGCAAAGGAATTAGGAATAGGGTGTGGCATTTTTGCAGGGGGGTGGGTGGGAGGAGGTGTATTCTAGGTAGCTGTGGGAGTCGGTGGGCTTGAAATGGATATCGGTTTCTAGGTGGTTGCCAGAGATGGAGACAGAGAGGTCCAGGAAGGAGAGAGAGGTATTAGAGATGGTCCAGGTGAACTTAAGATTGGGGTGGAAGGTGTTGGTGAGGTGGATGAACTGTTCGAGCTTCTCATGGGAGCACGAGGCGGCACCAATACAGTCATCAATGTAACGGAGGAAGAGGTGGGGTTTAGGGCCAGTGCAGGTACGGAAGAGGGATTGTTCCACGTAACCTACAAAGAGGCAGGCATCGCTTGGGCCCATGCGGGTACCCATGGCCACCCCCTTTGTCTGTAGGAAGTGGGAGGAATTGAAAGAGAAGTTGTTGAGGGTGAGGACGAGTTCGGCTAAGCGGATGAGGGTGTCAGTGGAGGGGGACTGGTCGGGCCTGTGGGACAGGAAGAAGGGGAGGGCCTTTAGGCCATCTGTATGGGGAATGCAGGTGTATAGGGACTGGACGTCCATGGTAAAGATGAGGTGTTGGGGACCGGGGAATTGGAAGTTCTGGAGGAGGTGGAGGGCGTGGGTGTTGTCACGGACGTAGGTAGGGAGTTCCTCGACCAAGGCGGAGAAAATGGAGTCGAGATAGGTGGAGATAAGTTCGGTGGGGCAGGAGCAGGTGGAGACAATGGGACGACCAGGGTAGTCAGGTTTGTGGATTTTGGGAAGGAGATAGAAGCGGGCAGTGCGGGGTTGGGGAACGATGAGGTTGGAGGCTGTGGGTGGGAGATCACCTGAGGTGATGAGGTTGTGGATGATTTGGGAGATGATGGTTTGGTGGTCGGGGGTGGGGTCATGATCAAGGAGGTGGTAGGAGGAGGTGTCGGAGAGTTGGCGCCTGGCCTCAGCGATGTAGAGGTCAGTGCGCCATACTACAACTGCACCTCCCTTGTCCGCAGGTTTTATGGTGAGATTGGGGTTGGAGTGGAGGGAGCGGAGGGCTGCACGTTCTGCGGGGGAGAGGTTGGAGTGGGTGAGAGGGGTGGAGAGGTTGAGGCGATTGATGTCTCGACGGCAGTTGGAGATGAAGAGGTCGAGGGAGGGTAGGAGGCCTTGGGGTGGTGTCCAGGAGGAGGGGGATGTGTTGGAGGCAGGAGAAGGGGTTAGTAGAGGGAGGGTTAAAGAAATAAGTGCGGAGGCGGAGGAAAAACTGCTCAATGTCCAAGCGTGAGCGGTATTCGTTGATGTGTGGGTGGAGGGGGACAAAGGTGAGCCCTTTACTGAGGACTGACCGTTCGTCCTCAGTAAGGGGGAGGTCTGGGGGATGGTAAAGACTTGGCAGGGCTGGATGCTACAGTCTCCTCCAGGTGGGCGGAGCGATGTTGGCATCGGTGGTGGGCCATGCGGCGTCGGCTGTGGGCGGAGTTGCATCGGCGGTGGTGGGCGGAGTTGCGTTGGCGTTGGGCGGAGTTGCATCGGCGTTGGCAGTGGGCGGAGTTGCGTCGGCGTCGGTGGTGGGCGGAGCAGGGTAGGTGGCGGCAGCAGCGGTGACGGTAGGTGCATCCTCAGTGTCTATGGTGTTGGCCTCGGAAATGAAGGCGGTGGCATCAGCAGTGGTGTCAATGGCGTTCGCTGTCCCGCAAGTGGTATACCCGGTGGCGAGAGATGTGACGTCATCCGTGGGTGCTCCGACAGTGACCACGTGGCCAATGGCGGCGGGCACATTGTGGAGAAGGTCCTGGGTAGGGTTGGGGGTTTCGGGGGTGGAGGAAGCCCGTTTTGGGTGGTAGGCACCAGTAGGTTTACTGTACTTATGGCTTTTAGTATCCAATAAAGCTGAGTAGAATTGTGAGTTCAGGTTGTGGATCCTACGAAGAATTAAAAACAGGAGAGGTCCTTTGCAGGTCGGGGAGAAGGAGGCTCTAAGCTGGGGTAGGCTTGATTGTAGTGCCAGGAGATGCCGGCGCATTGCTGCGAGTGTGTGTTTCAGGAGTCGCAGGGAGAAACGCTTCTGAAAGATCTCAACGTTCTGAATGTAGACGTTGTCACGGTTGGGGCCAAATTAGGAAGGCCTGAATGTGGACTGTAGTCCATTGAGGATGATCTGGTTCCGTAGGCAAGTACTAAGAAAGGTGATGTGGCTGTAGTACTTGGTTTGCTTCAGGACGTGATCAGTTTCAAGGCCGAAGAGATTACGAGAGAGTTGCAGTGGGAGAGAGATTCACTGAGGTTTTTCCGGAGGGAGGAGGGTAACTTCTTCAGGGTAGGCATCCTTAGAAGAGGCTTCGCAGTGGGGTTAAAATTGTTTCAGAGACAGTAGGAATTGCAGATGCTGGAGAATCTGAGATAACAAGGTGTAGAGCTGGATGAACACAGCAGGCCAAGCAGCATCAGAGGAGCAGGAAGGCTGACGTTTCGGGCCTAGACCCTTCTTCAGAAATGGGGGAGGGGAAGGGGTTTCTGAAATAAATAGGGAGAGAGGGGGAGGTGGATAGAAGATGGATAGAAGAGAAGATAGGTGGAGAGGAGACAGACAGGTCAGAGAGGTGGGGATGGAGCCAGTAAAGGTGAGTGTAGGTGGGGAGGTAGGGAGGAGATAGGTCAGTCCAGGGAGGACGGACAGGTCAAGGGGACAGGATGAGGTTAGTAGGTAGGAGATGGGGGTGCGGCTTGAGGTGGGAGGAGGGGATAGGTGGGAGGAAGGACAGGTTAGGGAGGCAGGGACGACCAGGGCTGGTTTTGGGATGCGGTAAGGGGAGGGGAGATTTTGAAGCTTGTGAAGTCCACATTGATACCATTGGGCTGCAGGATTCCCAAGCGGAATAGGAGTTGCTGTTCCTGCAACCTTCGGGTAGCATCGTTGTGGCACTGCAGGAGGCCCAGGATGGACATGTCGTCTGAGGAGTGGGAGGAGGAGTTGAAATGGTTCGCGACTGGGAGGTGCAGTTGTTTAGTGCGAACCGAGCGTAGGTGTTCTGCAAAGCGGTCCCCAAGCCTCTGCTTGGTTTCCCCGATGTAGAGGAGGCCACAACGGGAACAGCAGATGCAGTATACCACATTAGCAGATGTGCAGGTGAACATCTGCTTGATGTGGAAAGTCTTCTTGGGGCCTGG